CTTGCGTGCCGACAGTCTCATTGTAAGAGATCTTTCTTTTCAATTCAAGGCTACCTCCTATAGGAAGGCGGTAACCGCCCCGAACGAAACGGTGACTGATGATATCATCGGAAAGGTGTGATAAAACTAACCAATAAGGTCCAATTTTGGTTTTATTTTTGAGACTGGTTTTAATTAAAACTGAGGTTTGCCGTAAAACGCTTGCCTATATCGTAGAGTTCGTACCAGGTGATTCAAAGAAGAAGACGCAGGTGCGTCGTTCTGCCCGTTCTGCCCGTAAGGCGCCAATCCCCTGAGGTAGGCAAACCTACCCGCTTCTGCGTCTTATCTCTGAATCACCCGGTACACATAGTTTTAAAATACATTTTAAAAAAGTGATGTTTACCCTTCTGCAAGCAAGTGCGGGACACGGCGCGCCCCATAAATGAATATATTCATTTGGTTGCTCCCTGCTGTTATTGTGTTGGGATCACGGGAAGGGGGAACGGGGTGGCGAGCAGGGCGCGCGGGCGGTAATCCTGGTCGCCAGGCGTCCATTAGGGGCCGTGGGGATTAAAACATTTTCATACGCAGGGAACATCTCTCCCCCGCACCCCTTCCCCATTCTCTTTCTCTCTCTTCCTCTCCCCTCCACGAGTGACACAACCGTGATTCCAAAAACAGCAGGGGATTTATGCCGACTCGCGTGGCGCCGGGGGTTGGGGGCTGATGGCCTGGCGAAGCCGTGCCCCTTTAACTCTTTCAGTGTCAGCGCCAGATATTGCGTCTGTGTTTCGCAGTCGGCATCACACACACACACACACACACACATACATACATACAAACAGAGAGTAGAGAGGATGGCTCCCGGCCCCCGGCTTGTGTTCGCAGCTCATCCTCAGACGACATCACATGTTACCAGCGCTGACAGAAGCATACCGAGCAATCTAATCTGGAGAGGTACATGCGGCAGACGTTATTGTCTATCAGTACACCACATGGGGTTGTACATAGCATCTCCACCGATTCTCCATTACATCTATATCGGCCAACTTCGGGGAGAGAAACTACGGGGAGCACTCTACGAGAAAAGAAATAAAAAGGAAGCCGGCGGCGCTAACAACAAGGAGCTGTTGCGCGCGTCGGAAAGGAGGGCGGGGCCGGGCGGCGCGAGCCGAGGCGCCAAAGAGACGCAGACAGCATCCGTCTCCATTTCCAATTCTATTAGAGCCATTCTTTCTGTCGCGGCGACACAGCTGCTCGCTCCTGCAGCTGTCGCATCGCACCGCACCAGGGCCGCCCGGCGGGGTAGGCAGCGCGCCGACAGCAGTGCCCCGCTGTTGCCTATCCCCCGCCCCGTACGGCTGCAGCCAGTAGGGCCGCCCGGCGCGGCGGGGTAGGCAGCGCACCAGCAGCAGTGGCCCGCTGTTGCCTACCCCGTCCGGCTGCGACAGGGCCGCCTTAGGCTAGGGGAGCGCGGGCAGCAGTACGCTGCTGTTGCCTATCCCGCCCGTATTTAAACCCACACGCCGGATGGTAAATATTTTCTTTTTGCGTTTTCTTTCTTTTTTTTTTTAGGTTTTGATCCTGGTACGAAGTTGCTCGATATGGTTTTTAAACCAATTTACCTCACCACGATGCTATGCTACACATCGGCAAAAAAAAAAAAAAAATCGATTCGGTACGAGAAATCATCCTTTTGGTGCGGGACAGTCACCCGCGGCGTGATATGTAATCTTGTCGCGATAGGAAGCACGGCCCGGGCGTGCGGGGCGCTTGTTGCCTCTTCCTGCAGCGCGTGGGGTGCGACACAACCCGCCCCGCCGCAGCCCTCTCGGCTCAGCATCACTAAGCTGCTAATTTTGGCTCATACGCCGGAACCGAGGCGGGGGAGGGGGAGCGGCCAGGCCGAGTGGGGGGACCCGCAGAGCATAAATGAATGAATGAGTCGGAAGGAGGCCGGCGCGGAGCGGGGGAGAGAATGGGGACGGCGGGGTTGGGGGTGAAGTTCGACGACCCGATATGGCGGAGGGGCTCAACTTCCCACACGGCGCGGCGAGGCGAGGACAAAGGGGGCGTATAGCCGCGCGCCGCCTACATCCCTCTTTATGGGATTCCTCGCCGGGATTGGGACAGACCGGGATGAGGTATGGGGACTGTCCAACGCGGCGGGGGGCGGCGAAGGGGACGCCCCTCGCTCACCGCAGCTCCCCACAATAACCCCCTACGGACGGAGTTCCTTTGGGGTGAACGGGAGAGAGGAAGAGACAGAGAGAGGGAGGGGGAGGAGCGCTGCCCAAGTGTTTGAAGCCGAGAAGACATAAAACAGAAACATTAAACTAGGAAAGCAGGGACTGTCAAACTTCGCAGCTGGCATAAAGTGCAATTTAGTGGTATAGAAACGGTACAGTAGCACAGGTAGCAGGTGGCGAGACTCTTGCATCTGCGGAAGCAGGCAGACGGGACGGGACGGCCAGAGCGAGCCCCAAGGGTCGCTGCGAGATGAATGAGACCACGATGATGAGGGGGGCGATGGCGCCGGGGAGGAGGAGGGGGAGGAGGAGGAGGAGGAGGAGGAGGAAGGGGAGGAGGAGGGGGGGAGGGGGAGGAGGAGGAAACAGAGAAGGATACGCAACCGAG